GTGAGGGGAGGGCTGCAATACACAAGTCAAGGCGCAGCCCCTCCCCTCCCCAACATCTCTCCTCCTCCATACGTGCTTGGTGAAGCTCTGTCGGAGTACTGCTGTACCAACTGCACCACGCCGTCGTGCTGCCGTTGGAGCGATCTTCCTCAACCTCTTCTCCCCCCTTGCTGGATCAAGAAGGAGGAGACGTCTCCCGTCCCGTAAGTGTGTTGAACGCGGAGGTGCTGTCCGTTCAGTACTTGGTCATCGGTGATCCGAATCACGTCGAGTACGACTCCATCATCACCATCCCCTTGCAAGCTTCCGCACGCGATCTACAAGTGGTATGTAGATGCAAACTCACTCCCTTGACTCGTTGCTTGGATGAACTCATAGATGGATCTTGGTGAAACCGTAGGAAAAATTTTAATTTTCTGCAACGTTCCCCAACACTCAGACTCTTGGGTGTATAGATACTCATGCATAGCGAACGAGAGGCTAATTGAAAGCCATGGCATGCTTGCCACTAGCCAGACCGCATGAGAAGATGGTCTGCATCTGAGAGTTGTTCTGGATGGGAGTGTTGAGGAACTCAGTGTCCTTGGGGTGGTCCTAAGAAAGAAACACATCGATATTAGTTGTGATCGACATGTTAGAGCACAAAACCAAGTGCTATATTAGCTAACCGCGACGTGGACTTGGTAGTGCTCTGCCTCCATCGGGATCGCGAAGGTGTCCTGATCCCACTATGCTCCGCTAAGGTCTCTGGGCTTGGACACTCGGATCCATATGGATCTCCACTTCCCGAGGTGTTTGTAGACTAGGGTTGAGGTCACCTTTGTGCCACATAACTCAAAGACTTGCTTGGTAACAATGTTGAGGTGCACCTCCTTGAAGACCTAGTCAGTCCTAACCCCACTAGCGATGAACTCACACATCTTGTTAAGCATGAACGTGCTCAGGGAAGGCTGCCATTTCATTGTGTTCCCCTTCCTAGCCCCCCCAAATCGCTGCCTTTGTAGCCTTAGTAGCTGCCTCAGGCATCACCACCACTATAGATGATTGCACTACAGGCCCCTCAAACACATCTGCACCAGGAGGTCTCTGATCGGATAGCAGTTGTGAGTCCTCAACATAGGGGCACATACTCTCAGACAAAACAATGGCCTAACTAAGGTCTTTGGTGTTCATGTATGACAATGGTTAGCACCAATACTACTGAACAAAGATAATGCATACAACACATGGACTGGTCAAACTAGCATTAACTGATCACAAAGTTCAACACAATACCACATCTACCTATCTACCATACTATATCTACCTATCTACCTACTACTATACTACACATACTATCATCTAGTTCAACACATTGCCGCATCTATCACAACAACATGAACATCAACAATGTTGAGAAGCAAAACCTAACATTCTAGCAAAATGACAACACTACTATATGATCTACCACATCATCACATGCTCACATATCTAAGGTCTACCATACTACCCACAGATCTACTCCTACCACATGCTCACATATCTAAGGTACAACGAGTAGGCAGTGATTGAACTTAAAACATCAGTGTAGACAATCAGGAGGTGCGAAACAACTCAGGGAAGAAGAGGAAGAAGAAGGATCGACGGCGCCGACCACAACCGACCGGTGTGTCGCTGACCTGCTCGGCGGTGAAGAATACGCCCGGGACAGAGAGCTCGAAGGGGAGGAAATGGTGGCGGGGGTTTCGAGGTGAGTGGACGAGGGCTAAATAGGGCGATCAAATTGGCGAGAGGTGATCCAATTCCTCCAGTCGATTTTTCAGGGACACGCGTGGGCTCGCAGCATCCATCAGCTCGCATGAGCTCGGCGCTGCATTCCCCTCCGTTGCAAGCCGAACACCTGGTTGAGAGGAAAGAATGAGCCAATATTTGGATATAGGTCAGGCATCCTAACGGGCCAAAGCCACATTCCTAGGCCTGACCGAGGCATACACAAGCAACCAAACATGCCCTAAGATAAGGTTACAAAAAGCAACCTTTGAGAAGCCTCAGTTTTATTTTTTTCCCTTTTGGGGGTTGCCGATGCTCGACAACCTTTGCTCTTGGGAGTAAAACTTAGTTTTACATTAGATAGTCTTATTTGTCCATTAATTGCTTGTCATCAATACCACAACCCGTAATAGGGTAGGGTATGCGTACGTGCATGCGTGCGTTTATAGAGATGAGTGTATGCTCGTGCATGTGAGGGACTTTGGTTGTAACGTGTTTAGAAGAAGAAAAAACTCAAAGTAACCTTGAGTCGACCAAACGAACGTTCATTGGCGGTTCATGCGTTCCCTTGTCTTGGCTCTCCTCTCCGGCCTGGCCAGACCAAGAATAGAAAATCAAATATTGGCAAAACAATTTGTCTCCTCCGTGGAGCGTGGCTCGCCTCACCCCTCTGTGCTAATAATACCACCTCGACGGCCATCCTCCTACGTATATAGGCCTTGTCTTCTCTTCCACGCGAGCGATAGGGTTGTCCCCTCTCTACCTATCTATCTATCTATCTATCTATCTGGAGCTACCCAAACAAAGCAATCATACCACAAGATAGAGAGTTAGTTGTCCATGGATCGGAGCCTCCAATGGAGCAGGCCGGCGTCGCTGCTCCTCTTGGGGGCGGCGTTCCTGGCGGCGACGGCCGTAGCGAGCGCCAACCCGGCGTACAACCCCGACCCCTACAGCGTCGTGGACCACTTCAACCGCGCCGTTCACAGGCATGCATGCATGCATGCATTAATATAATATTATCATATACGGAGTAGAGTACTACTGTAGTTACGTTGTAGCGAGTGAGTGGTAGATGAATTAAGTGGCATTGGCATGAACATGTAGTGAGCGTGCGTGCGTGCAGGTCGACTAGCCCGCGTCGTGCGCTGTATTCGGAGAAGAAGTCGAAGAAGCCAAAGTACACGGGCCCGTGCATGGCGACGAACCCGATCGACCGGTGCTGGCGGTGCCGCAAGGACTGGGCGACGGACCGGCAGCGGATGGCCCGCTGCGCCAAGGGGTTCGGCCGCGAGACCACCGGCGGGCTCAAGGGCAAGATCTACATCGTGACCGACGCCAACGACGATGACTTCACCAACCCGCGGCCCGGGACGCTCCGGTGGGGCGCGGTCCAGACGGAGCCGCTGTGGATCATCTTCGCGAGGGACATGGTGATCAACGCGTCCCAGGAGATCATCATCCAGAGCGACAAGACCATCGACGGGCGCGGGGCGCAGGTGCACGTGGCCAACGGCGGTGGGCTCACCATCCAGCACCAGAACAACGTCATCATCAACAACCTCCACGTGCACGGCATCGTACACACGTCGGGCGGCAACGTGTCGATGACGGCAACCCACTCCACGATCCGTACCCGCGCCGACGGCGACGGCGTCTCCATCTTCAACGCCACCAAAGTGTGGGTGGACCACCTGTCCATGGATAATTGCGAGGACGGCATGATCGACGTGGTGGCCATGTCCACGGCCGTCACCGTCTCCAACACCCACCTGGCCCACCACAACGACGTGATGCTCTTCGGCGCCACCGATGGGAAGGAGGAGGACAAGGTGATGCAGGTCACCGTCGCCTTCAACCACTTCGGGAGAGGCCTGGTGCAGAGGATGCCTCGCTGCCGCTACGGCTTCTTCCACGTCGTCAACAACGACTACACCAACTGGCTCATGTACGCCATCGGAGGCAGCAGCGCGCCCACCATCGTCAGCCAGGGGAACCGCTACAGAGCACCACCCAACATGGCTGCCAAGGAGGTACCTACGTCCTCTCCTCCTCCTCACTCCGATCCATCTATCCACCCAACATGGTTCAAATCAAATCATCAATTCAAATTCAAATTCAAATTCAAACGTGGAGCAGGCGACCAAGCGCGAGTACGCGGCCGAGTCGGAGTGGAAGAACTGGGTGTGGACATCGGAAGGCGACCTGATGATAAACGACGCCTTCTTCATCACGTCCGGCGGAAAAATAAGCCAGAAGCTCAACGGTAAGGACCTCCTCAAGCCCAAGCCAGGGGAGTACGTCAGGAGGCTCACCCGCTTCGCCGGCCCGTTGGACTGCAACGCGGGCAGTCCCTGCTGATCGTCGCCGTACCCTACCATACCATACCTGCCAAGCGGACACGCCCAAGGGAAGGAAACAACAGTTAACGTTCCACGCGACAACCCATCCATCTTTGATGCTACACTAGACAACAAGGCCGTAAGCATGCATAGAGTGAGGAATATAGGAGGGTCTGCTGCTCTCTGTTCGTGTAATCAATGTACTTGCTTTTCTTCTTCTTCTTCTTCTTCTTCTTCTTCTTCCTCGGAAATAGGAATTGTGTACCTATATATACATATACGCATGCATGTTGTACAACATGGACGTACTGTAACCGCTCTTGTTTATGATTTTTTTTGTATACCCTAAGTATCCATCTTCAGAAAGAAATGCAGCTTGTTTTGTACGTATTACTTCTTTCAAATTCTTCTGTCAACCAAACACAATAAGCATTTCAATCTTCTCCCATCTCACATAGACAAAATCAACACTCAACTAAACCAGTCATCATTTCACAGAATTCCAGATGAATTTAATACTAGGGACATGTCAAGAACCTTGTTACGATGGCATACCATACAAGCAAGGTTTAGGGTGAAAAATACAGACATTTTGTTCGTCTAGTTTCGACGCAAGACAAGAAACCTAATTTCAGATGCCCTCTTTCAACGCATAAACTCTGCTTCGGAACGACGGGGGCAATCTACTTATCCCTGCATCAATTTCCTGAAGAAAGCAACTCTAGTATTAGGAATCTGTCGCAGTTTTCTTTTTCTTTTACACAAGGAAAGGATAGGTCTGGATGTCTGATGATGGGGTCAAGAGATACAACAGATTTACTTACAAAGCATGTAGAGCCAAATATAGGGGATTTTCACAGAGCAAGGGAAATGCAGTAAGGTAATTGATATCTCTGCATTTTTTTTAGCATCATCAACATGTTGTGCTTTGTCACAAGGAGTTCAGACTATAAAAGGGTTGCGCATTATTGGTGAAGTTGATTAACATAAAAGCTAGAACTAACATGTGGAGCCAAAGCATCCTTAACATGAGCGAAATTGGGATAAATCGGCCAGTAAAGGGGGTAAAATAGACTTCAATCATCAATAGCTAAAATTTGAATAACAAGCCATACTATTTCCACAGAGAGAACTGAAACAATAGATATTAACCCACCTCTGTTGTATAACGAGCCGAAAAGTGAATTAGTAGAATGGCTCTGTTTTCAAACTTCTCAGAGTGATTCGCAATCTGGAAATATCATCAAACATAAATGGAAGCATAAGCACTATTACGGATACTAGGTCATCTTTCTTTCCTATGACAGACAAAAATAATCAAAGTAAACCTCAAACAAGTGTATGTGCCCATATTCCCTTGCATGCTCAATCGAGACAGAGTCATCAAGAAAAGTACTCTGAAAATTTTAAGAAGAGCTCAGCAGATCAATAATAGGAACAAAGAAAAACTCATGAGAGGAAAATAACAGCAAAAGTTTTGAGCACAAGAAGTGAAACATGCTTCTAACCACCAGGATTCGTTTAATTGCAGCTAACTGGTGGCACATGAGTTTTTCCTAGATGTGATCAGTTCTGTTTGCAAAATAACAGCAGCTAGCTTGCATGCAGTGAAATTTGAATATACTTGGAGACAAAAACTGGTTGCTACTGTTAATAAAATGGAAGTTGGTTATATGATGATAAAGCGGCAAGACGTAATACCTCCATCACAAGAATTTTCGCCTTCAATACGTCTGCATTGTCAGGATCAAGAATGAAATCTGACATCGTATCCCCAGTGAAAGCAACCTCGGGTGTTGTCACTGTATTAGTAATCTGCAAGGAATGGAAAATTGCAAGCACATGATCACATCAACAACTCTTGGTAGATTCTGATTTACCTATTCCTATGAAATATTGACATCCACCAAGACATACAGACCTCCACGCCTGATAGCTTCAACCTTTTGATCTCGCTCCCCGGGAGGCCAAGATAATCCTTCTTGAGCTTTTGCTTCACTGAGTATATCACGTACCCCTAGAACCATATCAGATATCACTTTCAACCAAGCCATTGCAAAATTCCTCACAGATCAACCAGGGGGTGCACAATTCCAAGAACTGAAGCAAGTTCCCTCACCTGGCTGGGTATGGTATGGTAGGTCTTGAAGGCCCTGACCTTGAGATCCCTCCTAAGCTCATACTCCTCGCCAATGTCGAGTGGGACGAGGGCGTGGTTGAGCTCGGACTGGTCCATGGCGCGGTGCACGTCGAACAGCCGCTCCACGAGCTCCCTGAGGTACTTGGGGACGAAGATGGTGGGCGGGCGCAGCCTGTAGAGCCCCCGCGTGGCCACGTACATGGGGAGGCCTCCGATGTGGTCGAGGTGGGCGTGCGAGATGAAGAGGAAGTCCTGCGCCACGGCGCGCTGCGGGCACCGGCCTATGTCGAAGGCGAGGCTCAGCGTCGGGAAGATGACGCACGTCTCGTGCCCGCCGATGGAGATGCCCTCCACGGGGTACCCCTCGATTTCCAGCCGGGGCTTCGCCTTAGCCTTTATGGCTGGGGAGGGGCTTGGAGGAGGGGCCGTGGAGGTCGCCGCCTCGGCCGACTTGCCTCTCTTCGCCATGCCACCGCCGCCGCCGCCGCCGCCGGGTGGAGGTACGATTGGTGAATTACGGAGATACAGACAGGTCCTTAGGCATCTCCAGCCGCGCCTCCAACGGGCCCTCCCCAAGCGATTTTGTCGCGCCGGCGCCAAAAAAAGGCCCCAGTCGTGTCCCCAGGAGCCCGTTTTTCGTCGGCTCGGGCCAAAACTGGTGCCGGCGGACCCAGGCTGAATCCGGCGCCCTGTGGGGCGCTTGGGGAGCCGGCACAAGCGAAAAAGGCGCGTGGGCCCGCCCTAGAGGCGACCCGAGGGCCTTTTCCCGCCGTTTCTCGACGCTTTTCCCTCGCATCTCTCCCGCTCGCTCGCCTTCCTCCCGCCATTCTCTTCCTTTCTCCCGCCAAACCCCCTCCCGCTCGCCGCGAAGAAGTACGCCATGCCGCCGAAGAAGCACGCCATGCCGCGCGCGGCGGCAACCGCGACTGGCGCCGTGGCCCAGCCGAAGCAGAGGAAGCCGAGGGCGCCGCCATCGAAGCCACCGGGCCTGTCGAACGCCGAGTGGAGGGTGGAAGTTCAGCGGCGCGAAGCAGTCACCACCGACAGGCGGAACAGGGCCATAGCCAAGAAGGCCCGCGACAACGCGGCGCGCGCGGCGGCGTCTTCCTCATCGGTCGACCAGGCGGGGATGAATCCACCCATCGTCAGCCACGCCCAGTACGCGCCCTGGGGACAGCAAGGCGCCGGATCTCCATGGGGTTCATCGTCGCCGGGCTACGCCGACGGCGACGCGCACGGTGGGTTCAACCCAAACGTGACCTTTCCTCATGGTCACCCCGCTACGCGCACGCCCTCGCCCGCCTTCGTCGGCGTGCAGTACCCTCCATACAACTACTCGCCGCCCGCCGCCTACGCGTCCACACCGACGCCCCATCTCTACCGTGGACCGCTACCGCACGAGTGCAGGAGTCCATCGAACATTGCCTCGCCGACGCCCAGGCCCGGGCCGTCCTACGCGAAGAGAAGACCGAGGCGCGGTGGTCGTCGCTAATGAAGAACAACGCCATCAAGTTCGACATGCTCCGGACGAACGTCGTCGCGAAGAAGAGGAACACCGACATGGTTTTTCTGATGGGCGGGGCGGACATGCTCCAGAGCAACGACGAGAAGCTCAAGGCGTGGTCCCTGGTGCAGCGCGGCCTCATCCTGAACGAGCTGCCGACGGCAACGCCGACGACGCCGACGACGCCCACGACCACACGGACGCCAAGCCTGACCGACGCCTCTGCATCGCCGCCCAGCAATGCCGAAGCCGCGCCGACGCAGCCCAGCACCGAAGCAGCTCCGCCAACGACGAGCCCGCGCACGCCGATTCCGCCAACGCCTGGAGCCGACCCCGCCGAGTGAATCGTTGCGCACGCGAACTTGCGGCGGCGGCGCTCTATTTTTTGTAACGCCAGACTACGTCCGATCGCCGGATTTGCGGCGTCTTTTGAGAGCGGGAACGACCAAGTTTAAATTTCCCGCATCCTGGGGCCGGCGCGTGGGGGCGTGACTGGGAGCTAGGTCGCCCCCAGGCCGCTCTATTTAGGCGCCCTGGGGGGCCGAACGGCTGGAGATGCCCTTATGAAGGGGGGAATACCCTTGTGCTCTCGTCTCGGGTGCACACGCCCCTGATATGGAAAAAACAATTTGGCAATTGACAAAAAAAAACTGAAACTTCCCGGAAATAAAGTTAACCTTGTGTTGTACTCGCATGACAAGTTTAGCCAAGGAAAAACCCCGTTGATTTCAGGCAAAAAGTAACAATTCAGGGACCAAAAGTACAAATAGTGTCTTGTATATAGTGTTGAATTATTATTATTTTGACCAGAACACCATGAAAGTCATTTATGGAAGAGACTTTTTACATGAGTAAAACACTCGATCATGTTTTGTTTCCAAAAGTTTTAGGAAATTTCGACTTTTTTCAATTATTACCTTTTTTTAATAACTAGCATAAATGCCCGTACGTTGCAACGGGAAAAAAATAAAACACTATGACATGACGGGCATATTCAAGACGGCATAGACATGGGTATTGTGACGCCCGGGTAATTAAGCTACAGTGACCCTCTGCTAATGATGCCACGTCACCTCGTTTATAGTTGCTAATCTCGAGTTAGTTCGAAACCAATTCAAATTCAAATTCAAAAAAAATAGGCAAACAATAAAAGCTTTCAAATATTAAAACTAAAATGTTCGGAGTGAACCAAATATTGCATAGATAATTATGGGGGAAAAACCACACATGCATAAAATGTTTAAATAATATGAGATGGGTAAAACAGCAGCAAAACAATTACTTTAAATGCTTTTAAATACTAAACAAATGTTAATCTAGTTTATATAGTCACCAAACTTTTTGGAGTAGGTGGCCTATGTTGTTATGCTAATTT